CCCCAAAACCCCAAAACCCCAAAACCCCTTTAGGAAGAGAAAATATTGAAAGTATTTTTGGGGAATTAGGAATTTTTAGTTTCTTTTAAGGATTTTAGGCTCTGTTCCAAATTCTTCATAGGAGTTTGGAATGTCGTCTAGTTTGATGAGGAATCTCATTGTTGGTCTTCCGTGTGGGCAATTCCATGGACATTCAAGGTTGGAGAGATTTATAGCGATTTCTTTCATTTTTGGCTTAGTTAAAGCTTTTCCAATCATGATCGAGTTTCTTCATGCTCTATTTGCAAGCATATTACGCACTTTCTTTGGTCTGTATATATCTTTATGCAGAAAATCTTTTTCCAGCTTCTTCATCTCATTCATATCAATATCTTCAGTAATTTTCGACAGTAATTCATTAAAATCATCTACTGTAAACTGAATATTCTTGCTGTATGGCAATGTCTTGATTTTGATTCGATTACAAGTCTCTTTGTCACTGTTATCGAATTCAAATCTAAACCCATTCTTGACGAACACATCTTCATGCTCTTTAAGAGCAAGAAGTTCGCAGACATTTACATCGTGGTTTATTGGTCAAACTAATGGCTGCGAATGGATCACTGTAGATTTAGATAATCTTTCAAAGTTGAATTTTTCATCTGTGGCATGCTGGTCTAGGATAAAGAGCTGGTTTGTATCTTCTCTAACAGCTAGGATAAACCCGAGGTTGAACTGACCGATAATTCTAAGTTTCTTAAAATCCTCTTTTCCAAACATTTCATCAAGCTTTGATTCATCCACATCAATGATGTTGTTATCAAGATCACCAGGATTTGTCAGAATATTCTTTTTCTTGTTCCTTTGGATAATATTCTCTGACTTCTTACTGGAAAGTTCTTCATACCTCTGTTTTTCTCTTTCCAAGATTGAAGGAAGTCTGTTGATGTCTAAGGACACCTCAGAATCTGATGTATCAAATCCTGTGGTGACAGGCAATTTCTCCATGAACACTAATTTCTCACTGTTCATTGGATGCTCTCTTAGGATAGAATCAGGATCAGCCGATTCCTTGGTGATGTCAATGTTCTGATCTCCTTGAGAGGATATATTCAGATTTGAGTCTAAGGATACATTTTTGTTAACTAGCTGTATCTTTTCTCTCTTAAATAATGTCTTTTGCTCTTCCTGATGATTCATTAATTCCTGGTTCAGTTCATAAGCAGGATCATTTTCTTTGTCTAAGTATTTTACTTGAGTTGGCCCAAATGTCCTCTCTACAGCAGACATATAGTCTTTAGGCTTTTCTTCTTGCTGAGACTCTTCTTCAGGTTCTTTAGAAAGCCTCTTTCTATTACCTCTCTTAGAGGCTGCTTTGAATTTTGATAAAAAGTTTTTCTGTTTCTCTTGTCTTGTCATTGTGTTATTTTTCTTAATTCTGCTTTTTAGAGCTTCCAGGTCTATCGAAGGTCTTTTAGGTTCAAAGGCAGTAAACTTTTTCTCTGTTTTATGTGTACTCTTCTGAGAGGAATCTTCTAATTCCTCATTTTCACATTCAATCTCATATTCAGTTTTGAGTCTTTTTACCCGAGGTACTTCTGATTTGATCTTTTTACTGCCTTCTGAAGATCCTTGTGATTGCTGAAGAGAAGTTCTCTTCCTCAAATTTGTCTTGTATTGACTAAACCTTTGTGAATGGTCACTCATTGATTTCTGCGCCCCACTGTCTTTACGAGCCTGGAACTTTTCTTCCTCTTCTTCATCCATCTGGTCTTGCTGGTGGATAACTTTCTTCTTCTGGAGACTTTTGATGATCATATTATCCTTGACATCCAGAGTTGGGTTGAAAGAGTCCTCCTTTTTCTTCAGATTCTCGACTAATTTTGACTTCTGAATGTCCTCAAAGAAATTATTAAGATGAAGCTTAAGGCCTTTGATGATCTCCTGTTCATTATTTTAAGAAAATTTCTCTCTTATCTGGAGACACATTAATGTCATAGTACTGATCCTCAACTTGGAAGTTGAGGATTATTACAGGAGTCACCTGTGCCGAGAATTGCTTGTAAATCTCCATAAAACAGTTTATTATTTTCTTTGGGAGATCTATTGGTCTATTGTTTAGATAGCAATGAACTGAGTCTCTATTGATCTTCCCTGACTGCATTGAACCACTGGAAATGTACTTGGTTACAAAACCAGAGATTTTACAATGAGGAAGGTCTCATTCAAATTCTATAAGTTCTTGAGTCTTTTTCTTCCCAATAATAGTGATGATGTTAGTTTTCATGTCTCCATCTCCATTAGTTCTGATTAGAGTATTTAGTTGCCTATTATTAAGCAGAAGTTCTTACTTTGATCCTTTAGTCGTATTTGTGAGTGTAAATTTAATGTGTGAATTTATTATCGCGTAAGACTGCATTCCAGAAAGAGCCTTAGTGAATTGACTCTTGCATGTTTTCTTGAATTCATTGTATCTTACAGGCAGTTTTCTGAATAAATTTTTGATGCTCACAGTTGTTCCAACCTATCAGAGTAAATTATTCATGACTTACATTCCTGGCAATTTGTTTCTTGCTGATAAGTTCTCCTGCTTCATCAAATTTTAAGAAGTATCCTAACTCATTATCTTCAGTTTTAGTTGAAATTGAAACTTCTCCAAGTGATCAAAGAGAGTTAAGAGCTTCTCCACGAAAGCCAAGGGACTTTATCTTATAAATATCTTCAAGTTCTGAGATCTTTGAGGTTGTTCCTCTCTTTGCAATGATGTCAAAATCAGCTTCGTTAATTCCTTTTCCAGTGTCAGCTACTTCCATTCCTTCTAATCCATATTGGAAGAACTTTATATCTATTTTCTTTGCTCATGCATCAATACTATTCTCAACTAGTTCCTTAATTGCTCCTTTCAGATCAGTGACGACCTGGCTACTACAGATTTGACGAATAGAGTCTTTATCTATTTTGTTAAGCATTCCCGCCATTAATAATTATCTTCAACTTCAAATAAATCCGAAGGGGTTTTGGGGTTTTGGGGTTTTGGGGTTTTGGGG